GTCCAGGATTTAAATTTCAGCCCAGAGACCGGCTGTCTTGACAGTAAATTTAACTTTAGTTTTCCTCAGTGTCTTCCACCCAAATTCCTGGATGGCACTACCGTTTTCTTCCAATTAATTTTTCATTAATCGTCGTATCATTGGACATTATGAATTGCGCTGATAACAGAATCGTTAAATGAACCATAAATAAATAAATAAATTTCCATCTTGTCTTCGTTTGTGGGTTGTAGCCAATTCTTTGGCTGGTCATGAATTTCACTCATAGTATTTCAGACTTTTAATATTCTCACCTGTGTTTTGTTGTTGGTAATTGTCAGTGTACAGGCTAAGAGCATTAATAGATCTCAAAGTTAATTCGAAACGTGAATACAATTATTCTAGAGCATAGGACAAATGCATACAGCACTGAAATGTTACTACTATAAACAGAATTTGTGTAGTAACTAACTCCATGGAGCAGAATATTTCTCGAGAATTATGCTTAGCCAGCGAAGAAATTGTCGACCTTTCATGGAATCATAAAGTAAGTTATCGTTTAAACAAATGTCCGCCACCAGTCTCTATCCTGAACCAAATAAATCCAATCCACACCCCCAGATATTGATTCTCCAAAGATCTGTTTTAATATTATCCTCCCATCTCCGCCTAGGTCTTCAAAGTGGTCTTCTCTTTAAGTTTCCCAACCAAAAATGCCCATTCATTTCATAATTATCAAGTAAGACAGCTAAGTGGAAAAATGCGTAAGACAGACTAAACGAAACTTTAGAGGCGCAAAAGGTATTCTTCACGCCAAATCACGCAGTTCGTTGTTGCGCTAACGCGATCCGGATTTAGTGTTGCTTCTTGTCCCATTCTTGTTAACGCTATCAACGCGCAATGTTGCGTCTTTGTCATTCTTGTGCTAATGTGATCTTAAAACATTGTTGCAAACAATGTATTCCAACAATTACCTTGCTCCAAAGTGTGTCTCAAAATCGGGTATCACTGGATTCCATTGTTTTGTAGCAATTGGCTTGAATCATGCGGGCGACGACGCACAGACAGGCATGTCCAGCTCATAAGGTGTTCGTCGCCCACAAAAGAGCTTCAAGAAAACCTTAAAACGTATTTTAAATCTTCTGTTCTGTGGCATTATGCTTGCTTACCATTTGTGTCAGACACCATTCTTTACATCAGTTAAATCATGTGACAAGAAAGTCACTGTCTTTGTGCTATATCCATACTTGCATTGTTCAGGAAATCGTTTACTTTCTCAGCGCCAGATTTAATTTAACACAAAGCAGTTCGATTATGGTGTTACAGAATTGATCCTTTTACTCTCTTTTTTCATAAAAGCTCTTCCAAAATTAAGAAAGGCAATTTGTAGCGTCTTAACGGTCCCAGAGGGTCGCCTTGTGTGTTGTGTAATAAATCTATCGAGTGTCATTCATCAAACCAGCGATAAAAACGTTGGCACGTTACAAAGATGTCGCTGTTGGAACAGGACCGCAATAAAAGTAGCAGTCTGTCATGCTGAAACGTCTAGAAATAAAACGAAACCCGAACGTTCAGATGGCTGCTGAGTCGTCTCATCCAGTTGAAGAAATGTCTTATCAATGTCACGCAAAGTTTGCCTTTGTATTTTGAAGCTTTTATTAAGGTCTGCAAAGCAGAAACCGTCATTCGTGTTTCGTAACATATAGTCCGTCCCAGCAGTAACGTGATCTAAGGTGCTTTGATCAAGCACTGGGATTGTGGATTCTATCTCTTTCGAGGTATACATATTCCGAGCTTTTTTCTTGTATGTTGTTCAATGTTATGGTACAATACGCACAAGTTATATTGAGATTTGTCTTCCTGGTTGCCACTTGGTATAGTCGGCGCAGTAGTTTTTGGCCGGTGGAGAAGCTAGCGGAGCTGGCGGACGGGCCTACTCTGTGTACCTGAGGTGGCACGGTCAGTGTATTTCTTTTGTTTGGGCGTTCAGTCCGAGACTCGCTCCTCGGTGCAGTCAGCATTATACTAAGGCACAAGTGACTCGCTCCTAGCCTTCCCCTTGAAAATTCCACCGGCCAAAAACTACTGCGCCGACTATATCTTCAGCCGTTCAAGGTCAAGGTAGCAGGCGTTCGACTGACTGTTAAGAAAACATTGGTAGAGTAGTGTGCCGTTATTATTAATAGTGAAGTCCCTCACTCCTTATTTACTGTGAATTAATGTGGTAAACCTGATTATGTTTTTTGTTTGCCATTGCTAACTTGTTTCAAAACGCACCAATACTACGAGTAAGTGGTCTAATGATCGGAGAGAAATAAATGTTTCCCACCAGACTCGTACGTAAACCTTCCGTTTTGACCATCCTCCTCCATTTGACTACCAAGATAACTTGCCTGTACAGTACAATTCTTCGATCACGTATCCAATGAAGGAATGTAACACGGTTGCGAGAACGGAGAATAAATTTGTGTTGTAAATCTTATAAGAGTGGAACTATTTTGGACCGAGGTCTGGAGGAAAAGGTAATATTAAAAGTGAGGTTGCAGAAATAGGTGTGAGGTTCTGAACTTGATTTAATTAGTTTAGCATAACTTTCTTAACATGCCTATAAACTTTGAGTTTCAATAAAGGGAGTGAATTTTTTAACTGAATAAATAATAATCAACTTCTCAATGAGATTAACTAACTCGGAATCATTGAGACGTTATGGAATGGGTATAGTACATATGATGACATTCAGCAGCGTTGAACATGGCCCGAAAATTGACCCCTGGCACTTTCCTCGTTTGAAATGTTATTAGAAGTTTCTTGTTAATTTTCTGTTGTGTTGCAGCAAAACTGTTGTTCTGGGTTTCATGTCGTGGCGAGAGCAACATTTCATTTCTCTCCCGTATTTTTAACTCGTTTACTCGACTCATCTGCGAACTTTTCCTATCACCCTGTCACTTTTAATTCAGCTTAGAGCATGAAACAAAAACTGTTCGCAGATTATGAAATGTTAGCGTCTCATTACGGCGAATATGGAGATGGCCGTCTTCTGGGATTTTGCACCGTGTAGTCTTGTAGAAATTGGCCGAAGTTTCAGAAATTTGTTCTGCCTCCTCATTAAAAGGATAAGTAATTTACTTATTGTTTATGGCCCCGTTGATGGGCGCCTGTGAAACGTCGTTAAATGTAATTAAATAGTCTGCTTCCTATTGGCCAAAATCTCTCCCCTATGATTCATAACCATTTAACGATTCTACGAACATAAGCTTATTATTTCATATAATATTCTAAATAGGACAAAAATAATATTTTCATTACCATTTACTCTAATTTTTGTCATGAAACCTACCACATTGATGAAAGAGTTTTCGTAGATCAACCCATGCTATTACTGACAGGTTCAGTTAATAATCCGGGTGGAACCCAAGGAATGAATAGAAATTGCGCATCCGCCCCTGATCAACAAGAGTTTCTCGAGGCTTTTGCTGACGATTTTAGAGTACTTTCACTATTATCAAGCCAAATCCTACCCAAATGGAACATATCCTGAAGTTACGACAACCCTTGCAATATCAAGAGGAAAACCAAGTAAGTTCTCCAGGCTTTGTTCACACGTAACTTTTTAACAAAACTGAACCCACATTTGTTTTAAATGTTGTCCAAAAGTGGTTTAGTCCCTTGTTTACCGTCAATTGTAAAACTTCATTCAATTTCTTTGTAAACATTTTCCCAGGAAAAAATTCATGCAAAATCTAGATGGAAACAATTCTGAGATCGCTTATCAAATAGAGATGTAGATGAGAAGGTAATATTAACCCTGATCTTAGATAAATATACTGTAAACTGTATTAAACTTGCACAGGACAATATTCGATGTAATGTTTTTATGTTGCTGAATTCTATAACAAGGAAGAATTATTTTACAATTAAATGTCTCTTGACTGATCAAGGAAGTTCCTCAAAGAGTGGCCCAGTTAGTTTGTTAGTCAGCCAGCCAACCATTTCGGTATGAACTTTGGTACAAGTTATTTTATGTGGCATACAAATCTAGAACCGTTATTCGTAATACCAAACTTTCAAGTCAAAATTTTCCTTCTTCAGCATAACATTTATTTCGATTGATGCCGGAAACTTACCTAGATGTATGTTAACTTGTAATATGTATGCAGCCAGCCACATGGATGTCTTCGTGCACGAAATGCTTAATGCCCCGACATTGATTGCGCAGTGTAAGAACAAAGCTCTGGTTATAGCATAAAGGTAATACATTCCGCTGTCTTCCATATGCAAGAGTGCTTGCTGTTTTATTTGATCCGTTGCATTCATTTACCACTTCAGGATCCTCGAGTGATATACAGAATGGATTTCGAAAGACACAGGAATCTGAATCAAAAAGTTTGTGCTGCTTTGTGTAGTAGTTTCATGCTTTCATACTGGCCCTATGTTGCAATGGAATTACGTTTCGGTCTTTAGATGTTTCCATTAACTTAACCTACGTTCTAAAACCTCTTTCATGCTGATATTGGGTATTGCAGTGTGTTTTATTTTATTTATTTCATTGGTATTTGATTTTGGTGAGTTCATCAACACAAAATCTTGTTACGCCAATTAAACTATTTATATGTTGCTAGTCGCATACTGGACTTTATT